AGAGCCTCATCAGGCTCTTGTTCCGTTTCCCACAGTACTAAATTTAATATGCACAGCAATAATATAAATAAATATCTAATACCTCTCACTTAAATCCATGAAAATGTAAGTTATCCCTGAGGAATATCTTTCCATAAAATGTCCTCCACTTGAATGAAAGGAAAACTGCAGTTTCCCACCATTTCAGACCGGGACAATAATTTATTTTGGTGATGATTATAGTGGATATTTTTGATTCATGCATACAATAGTAAAACTGACACTATTTTCTTTTGTTTGTGTATTTTGGTTAAAATAAAAGATTACTCCAAAGGAAGGCATTTGAGGAAGACTGCTTGCAGAGAGGGCCAGATTTATTTTGGCTGGCTGTGCTGTCCTGTCAGCTGGACAACAACCTGCACCATTCCCAGTCCTTCAAGCCCTCTCAGCCGCCTTTGCCACAATAATTTCCCTGCAGATTCCCTGCTGGAGCTCAGCTGACTGATGCTGACAATCTTTGCAAGCCACATCAAAAACTTTCCAGCAGTTTTACTGCTTAGGATTCCCCAAATAGCTGGATCACCAAAAGCCAAGTGTGCAGGTCACTATATATTATCTTTAATTTCTGCAGCTGTGCTGTGACCTGTCTGGGATTTTATTTCTTTTGGTAGGGCCCTAATTGAATTTTTCCTCCAGAATATTGCTGTTTCCACCTAATCTTTACCGTTTCCTCACGTGCCTGGTTTTTCCCTGGCTGTGCATTCCAGCCTGTGTTGCACCCCTGGTTTGTTCCTTTGAGCAGCTGGTCAAACTGAATTTTGCAGTCATTGGTGGGGATTCTTTTTTTAAAAGAAAAGGGAAAAAAGGAGCAAGGGATGGGAGGAGAGGAAATGAATTCCATCTTATATATTTTACTGGTTTTCTTCAGTAAATGAGTGGAGCTCATCCCCTCCCCACCTCCCTGTGAGGCGGCGCTGTCAATCCCTGTGCCCATGAGGGAAAATCCTCCTGTGGTTTCACTGCATTTCTGCCGGTGTCCCGAGGCTGAATCCTGCCCGAGGTCATTCTGAGGAGCACACAGGGCAGGATTTTGATGTTAATAAGCTTTATTTACCTGAGCCATTTGTAAATCCTGACCTGTGGGCTGCCCGTGGTCCATGGTCCCACCGGGCCTTCGCCTTTGCTGCCACAGGCCCACGGCTGCAGCAGGAATTCCATCAGATTTTAAAAGTAATTGGACTGTTTGTGCTTTATGAGCTTTAATGCCCTTTTTTTAAGGAAGAAATCCATCAGGTTCCAACACATGTGCGCTCCTATCTGCGGGATCATAAACCCCAAGGTCCCGTTTATGGCCTGGCAGTGCCACATGAACAAAGGGACAGCAGGAACCCGTCCCAGGGGGGGTGATGTGACACCAGAGCCCTTTTTGCAGTGCTTGATAAGACAATGTGTTCCTGCCAATCAAAAAAAAAAAAAAATTGTTTAAAAAAAGGATTATAAAACCCTTGGAGGAAATGGAGCCTTGGCAGTTTTTCTGCTCCCAACCTGCTCTGTGGGCTGAGCTCTCTCCACATTCCTGGGGCTCTCCCAACTCCCAGTCCACAAAATGTCTGAGCTGGACCAAGGATCTGGAGCCCTAGAATTCCCTGAGGAGGTGGGAATGAGTGGTGAATCCTCCTTTCCTCAGATGCCTTTGGCAGAAAGGGCTGCACACAACATGGGGCATCCTCAGCCACCGAGGGTCTCAGCTTCACGGAGAAGCTTCAGCACCTCCACAGTTCATTTTTTGTCTTTATCCTGCTCTTTTAAGACTTCAACTAATTTTGTTTTCCTCAGGGAGGTCACTGCTGCTCTACCAGGATTATTCTTATGTTTCCCAGTGCTGCTGGGCTCCAGGACATGAGCCATTATGTTTTACTGCCTGTGTGAAAAGCATTTTGTGTAAAGCTGAGAGCTTTGTGTACCACAAACTCCAGTGACTGTAGGCTTACAAAGATACTGCACTCTTGATAGAGATTGTCTATGATTTATTTGGAGTTTAATCTCGACATCAGCACAATCAGCAAAATGTTAAAATTTCTCTGCCTTTCTTTCTCTCTCATAAATTCTTCATAACCACCCCCAATCTGGAAACTCATCCATCAAGATCTCTCAGTGTGCTGGGAGCAGGAGCAGCCCTGGCGAGGTGGGGAGGGAAGGGTGGTGGCACTCTAAAGGTGATTCCACTCCATGGAAACCAAGGTGGTTTTGTGAAGCAGTAAAAAGGAAGGGCAGGGAAAAGTTAAGATGGTTTGGAGTGGATTGTGGGGAAACAAAACTCATTAAAACAATGTCAGCTGTTTGGGTTTCTTTTACATCAAACTGTGTTTGAATGCTGGATGTCTAAATCACTTCAGAAGATGTTAATAGGTAAAAGGTAATAAAATAACCCAAATTGATTACCATCATATACCCTTTATGATATAACTTTAAATGCAAATTGCATTCAACTGCGAGAAGGGAAATAATGTGCCAAAGGCATTTCAATTAATTGCTGTAGTTAATTACACTCATAATTTTACTTGTGTGACTAATTATAATCAGCTTTTAGTGGTGTATATGGATTTATTTCTGATACTAAAAGCCCCAAACAGCAGGTTATTTTTAGGAAATGCATTTAAACCTTGTAATGAAAACTGCATGTTCCCATTCTTAGCAGTTGTCTTGCAGGAGCTGTGTCTGTTCAGGAGGAGTTTGGAGGAGATCAAGAAGGAAAAGTGTCCTGGCTGAGGTCACTGTGGCCCTGCTGTGCCTCCAGCTGGGGTTTTTCACTGCCTTTTCCACAGGTACACATAATTTACCAGTAAACCCTACATTTCCTTTCTTTAAAAATCCAATTTACATATGAATTTCTCCCACACAAAGCATTTTTCCACAGCCACCTCAGTTCCCAGGTAATTTGTTTTTCTATCATTACAGAGTTTTAAAATCCCATCTTATTTTAGTGCTTCATGGAAGAAAATCACCAAGTCCACTTTTAGCTCTATCAAAAGGAGCCTCCCATCTCCAAAAGTACTAATTTTTCATGGAATAATTTATAGAATAATAGAACCATTTAGGCTTTAAGATCATCGAGTCCAGCTGTGATTTTTGGGGTGTTGCTCCTGTGCAATGGGATCCCTGTTTACTAAACTTTAAAACCAGCCTGGGAAGTTTGCTGGCTTCTCTGTGTCCTTTTTTTTTTTTTTTTTTTTTTTGACTACAGGTGGATGAACGGATTTTTTTATGTGGATTTGCTGTGTGACATCTTTTTCATGGGGAAGGTGCTGGCAAGTGCTATTTTCCCTGTGGAATCCACATCTGGCTGGGCAAGGAAGGAAAGGACAAAGGAAAAACCTTTGTCCTTCTCTCCCAGCAGTCACAGAAAACTAATTTTGTCCAGACAAGTTCATTTTGAGCTGGTCTTTTGTCACAGGAGGAGCTCACTCTAAGTGGAGTTGCCAAATTTGTCAGAATTATTTGTGGGTAATGTAAATACATTTCTAGTGAGTAATGGTTTGGTTTCCTTGTCTCTCTGTGCTTCCTGAGAAAAATATTTTACTGGAGACACATTGTATGAGGATTTTTTTGTGCCTGTCCCTGCTGTCACCCCCTGCCCCTCTGATGACTGGGAAGGAGCAGTGCCTTCACCTCTCACACCTCCAGAGCTGCTCCCAAACCCAGGTGCAGCCCAAAGCTGGGAAAGGATTGCTTTTGGATGGGTTGTACAAACCCCTGGTTGTTTTATTTGTTTTAACACCAATTTTAATTGCCAGTGTTGTTTCATTTTCCCTGGGACTGCAGCTTTCAGCCCCACAGCCATCAGCTCTTGCTCCAACATATGTGAAATGTATCAGTGCAGTTCTGTGCTAACCCTAATGGACATGGGAAAATAATGTTCTTGCTGGATCCTTCCAAATGCTTCTGTTCCTCCCCCCCACCCTTTCCTGTATCATGCCTTGGCTATTTGTCCTTCAGGAGTGACTGTCATTTCCTGGTGTCTTCACAATAATAGAATTTCATGCCAAACGTCGCTGAGACAACATTCCTGAAAACCAGCACCTCAGGTTACCTGTGCAACAGCAAATTGCTTTTCCATAACCATCCTCACAAAGCAAATCAGATGTCCCACTCAAAGCCTTCTTGTCTTTTCCTGGGAATAGTTTTTTTTTGAGGGGTTTGTTTATTCCCTGCTGGTCCTGTCCTTGTCACCTCCTGCCCCAGAGCAGAACCTGGGTGCCAGGAGGGGCCTCGGGCAGAGCAGAGGCTGGTCTCCATCCCTGTCACAGGAGCAGATGGAGCATTTCCCTCACTGCCACAGCACTGAGCTGCTCAGTGAAAACACTGATCCTTGTCCAGGGAGGTTTTATTCCCTCTGGGGCTGGTGCTGAAGAGCTCTTAGAGAAGGCTCACCCTCTTTCCAGAAGATTTTTTCTTCCTTGTAGCTCTGTATTAATCTGTTCCGTTGTGGCTGTGCCCTGTGATTGATCATTTATTATTAGCAATGAATGACAGCTGAGCCAGATCCTGCAGGGTTTATCCCCATCACCCCTTGGAGAGCTGTCTGTGAACTGAGAATTGAGGAAATAGCCTGAAGGAGAGGGATGGTGGCTCCTGCACACCTTGGTCGGTGCAAAAGGCGTTTCTCAGGTATCCAAGGAGTGTTCCCATCACTGCTTTGGGAGCAGGAATTCCCTGTGCTGGGAGCTGGGTGGGGTTGGGCAGCAGCTCTGCACTCCTGGGCAAGGGGCCAGACTCCAGAACCTGCTGAGTGCAGGTTCACCCTGTGAAACAGAGCCCTGAGCTCTGCTGACAGTGCAAACATCCCAAGGCACTGCACATCCCTGCCCCCTGCCCCAGAAATGCAAACCCAGCCCTAAACCCAGCCCTAAATATTGTGAAGAAAACAGGGAAGGGGGGAAAAGTCATGCTCCTCTTCTGAAAGAGTTCATGGATTCCCCTTCAGCAAGGACAAAAGAAATAAAAACTCAGAACAATTCAAATATAGGTCTGTTGTTCACCTTTAATATTTCATTTTTGTTTGCTCCTCCAAAGATATTCAGTTACATAAAAATACAGTTAAAGTATTAATCTTTCCTTTAAACTTAAATAGGTTAATTTAATTTACCATATGTTTTTTTTTAAAGCTTTACTGATTGATTAATATGAAAATAATTTCCCTGCTTTTGGTGAGCTGTGGTTGCTCTCATTGCCAGGATTTTCCTGAAAATATATAAAGTTATCTCTGCAAACATTGCCCTTAAAGGAAAAAAAAATACAAATCTGCTAATATGAAATCCTATTTTGGTGTGGCCAAAATCTAAAATCCTAAAAGAAGCTGTAACACATTATATGGCACTAGCCAAGGAGAAATATTATGTCCCTCTTCAGAGGGAGAACTAGAATAATACAAGGAAATGTATTTTCTATAAGTAATGGGGTAAGATCTGAAGGAATTGGTTCAAACCACAATCTTCTTGGAAAAAACTATGCATCTTGGCCATATGTGACTATTGCAGGTATGCTACTATAAAAAATTATATATATAAAAGAAATATATATATTTATTTATTTATATGTAAGAAAGAGCCATTTCTTGAGCTGTCCTATTTCATTAGGCAAATAACAACTACAAAGGATGATCAGAGTCTCCTGCTTCAGAAGCAGCCCTCCAAAGAGAGGGAATTTCCACAGATGTGCCTCTGGTAGGTGGGGATGAGCCTCCCTGCTGCTCCCCAGCACATCACATTGGCCATGGCATCCCAGAGAGAGGTGAATAAATAACAGAGGAACCTGGTAGCCCCAGCAGGAGATTGGCTGGAAGGAACCCAGTGTCCTTATCTGAAAATAACTGAGATATTCTGAAGGAAGGAGGGGGATTTATGTGCTGGGTGAGTGCCCTTCCCTGCAGGGGATGAGGGTTGTGTGTGAGCATTTATCTTTGCTCTGTGTTGTACCTTCAGGTAGGACAGTGTGGGGTTGTAGGAATTACTCCACATTTCACTGCCAGATTTGCAGTGCTGAATGTAAACGTGCTCCAAACCAACCCCGTCACAGGCACTTAGGAGCAGATTCCTGTCCAAGGTTCTCTGTGCAGCTCCTTCCAGTGCTGCCTTAAAACTACAAAATAATCCAGACTAACGCTTTCTCTGAGTGTATTGGCCTTTCAATTTGAATTTTCATTGCTTTATCTCCCAGCTCCTTTGAGTTCTGGTGGTTTGGGTTTCATTGCTTTATCTCCCAGCTCCTCTGAGTTCTGGTGGTTTGGGTTGCACCAGAGCAGCACGGAAGCCCTTGGTTAATGTCTGGAGGAGGACAAGGCTGTACTGGGACAAAATTCATGAGAGGCTGAGACAAAGAACAGCAAAAATACCAAGAAGTGAAGGCCCAGGATGGTGAATGAGGCGGGGAAGGCTCAGTGGGCCAGAGAGCTGAGGGTGCAGGCCATGGCCAGGGCCAGCAGCAGCAGCGGCCGCGCCGTGGGCAGGACAACACCGGCCCCCGACCACAGCACCTCACGCCCGTTCAGGGGCTGCACCGGCCGGAAATTCTCCATCATGGGAGTGGAGTTCTTCCCATCAAAGTGCAGCTCTGCGAACTGGGACAGCTGCAAAACACAACACTCGTTAAATCTGCTTGCCATGGGGCTGCTGCGCTGCCAAGCCGTGCTGCCTCGCTCCTGAGGGTTTGGTGGGTGCCTTCAGCCTCACAGCAAAGGCCGTGGCAGAGCTGCTGGAGAGGTCATTGAGTGGTGGCTCCTTCCAGCCTTGGCAGTCACGGGCACTTCCTCGGCGTGGCAGCCAAAAGCTCCGTGCAGCCCAAGGACTGGCTCCCCCAGAGCTCCTGACGCACAGCCCCCGGCCGCCACAGGAACAGCAGGAATTGTGTCCTTGCTGGCATTCCTGGCTGCCCTCTGTCACCCTGGCTGTGCTGGGGGCACGGTGACAGCGCTCAGGACACTGTGAGTGAGGAGCCAGGCTCCCAGCACAGCCTGTGTTTGCCAAGCACTCGTAGCTCCATCTCCTCTTCCTGCCTGCACACCAAAAATGGGCTGCCTGATGCTGATGGGCCCGAGGTTTGGGTTTGGAATCTCTGCGTTCTGCTGCCCCGGCAATGGGAGAGAAGCCGTGGAGCTGCAGAGTGAACAGGTGGCAGCAGTGGAAGTGCTGCTGACGAAGCCCTGAGCTTGGGGGGGTTTCTTGGCTTTCCCCTCAGGCCGTCATTTCCCCTTCCTGCCCCTTTCCTGCTATTTTCTGAGGGGTGATTTCACAGGGTCAGTCAGCTGGGAGCACGCTGGGGCTGCTGCCAAGTGAGGGTGTGTGGGGAACGGGGTGCTGAGGTGTCACCCTGCGGGCAGGCAGCCCGGGACACGGCACAGACCCTCCAGGCTGTGCCTCTGCCACTCACCTGGAGCAGGCTGAGCTCCACTGGCTTCTCAAAGACCGTCCAGATGACGCCCTGGTAGCAGTCAGGGCTGGTGAGGGACCCCTGGTAGCGATAGTACCTCCCAAGGTCTTCCTCAGGTGGGAGGAGAGAGCTCAGTGGCAAAGGTTCCACCTTTACTATATCCCCTGGAAAAAGCACAGGGGAAAATCCCTTGTAATGCTTGTGGCTGCAGGTTTTACCCACATTTACCCTCACCCCACACAGCTTGCGAAAATCCTGGCACGAGTGTCTTACCTTTGTATTTAATGTCCTTTAATGCACTCAATAGAGTTTCATAGTTTTTATTTTCTTCGTCAGCCTGAAAAGGAAATATTTTCATTCCATGTAGAGTATTTCTCTACAAGTGGTTGCTTTTAATCAGTGGTGAATAAAACAGAAAAGGGCCACAAGAAAAAATAACAGCAAGCAGGATGTAGAAAAAGGTAGAGGAACTCAGTGCTGGCAGAATGCCTGCAGGAGATAGGGAGGTTAAATCTTGGGCTACCAATATTGACATAAACATAAAATATTGACATAATCCCTCAGCCAAATTGCTGGCTGAGATTTGAGAGGGGCAGTTGAAAATTTCACTGCCTACCTTTATAAAGAAGGCCAACACAGCCAAACCATCTGGACTTTTCTTGGCTTCTGCCACATTTGAAGCATCTTCCCTTATGTGGACGACGTGAAGCTGGAACACAACAACCAAGGACAATTATTTCCACCCTCAGACCTCCCGTGGGGAACTAGCCAAGAGATTTTGTGAGCAGAATTCCAGAGTTCTGGAGTGAAAGCCGTGCTCCACACGCAGTCCCACCTACCTCCATGGGGTATTTCTCTCCATCTATGCTGTGCTCTGAGCCAGGGAAGTTTCGTGGCTCACCTGGGACTCCCCAGTGCAAATGGAATTCTACTGCCTTGTATTTTACCCCCAGGCCTCCTCCTCCGACTTTAGGGGATGTGTCCAGCGCCACTTTAACTGGGGAAAAAAGCATAAATTGTTTTGAAGGAGAAGAGCAGGTCCTACATTAACAGCATGTGAGAGCAGAGATGTTCTTGAGATTCAAATTTATCTGCAAGTTCTCACTTGGCTTTTCAGACCGAGTGTTCCAGAAATTCTGCTCTGCAGAAACTGAACTACAAAATCATGCCTGAGTTTAATTTGAGATCAATTCTAACCATTATGACCTCTTATACCTCTCAGAAGACCCTATATTCCTTCATTCTTTTTCCTAAAAAAAACCCTCTATCAAAGTAAATTGAATTCCAGTTTATTTGGGTTTTAACCATTATTTTAATCTCCTGTTGTCTGCACTGTAACATTTCCTTTGGGCAGGGTTTAAAGACATTCTGTTTTAATTTAGAGTAGTGCTGCAATTTAAGCCTAAATCATACATATTTGAGATATATGTTAAAATTTTGCTTTTTGCGACCCCCACGTTAAGCACAGCACTTCTCTTTGCATAGGAAAAATCTGGATTGCAGCCCCAGAGATTTCATTTCTGTTCTGAATTCTAAATGAACTTGGAGAGTGCATGAGTCACTTAGTTCCTTTGCTTTTTAATCTGTAAATGGATGAGTCAGACGTCTTTGTGGGTTTTGTTTATTTAGCTTAAGACCGTTGAGACAGCGACCTTTGCTATGTGCCCATCACGGAACATAATGAGGGTCTAATCTCACCTGCAGTCTCTAATTGCAACTGTAATTTAAGCAATAACCTCCTCATTTAGCACAGGAATTGGTTGCCCTTAGAAGGAAGAGATTTTCAAAACCCAGATTAAACCCCTAATCCTTATGCATGGCTGGGGAAGATGAGGAGCAACCCTTATAAATATTAATTTTGATGTCAAAGGGACTGTAATTGGACATCCTGGAGTATTATCCTGTAATGGGAAAGTCATTAATCCATATATTAGTGAAAAGTCAAAACATTCCATTTTCTTGTGGTCTGCCACAACAGCAATGTTTGAAATTAGAATTTGTAGCTGTTAAAATCTCCCCAACTGCCTTCCCACCTTTCTCTTTTAAATCAGGAAATATTTGCCACATGCTACTTTCTGCTTTGAGAATTTGGCAGTTAAAACAACCCATCCAAGATTTTAAAAACACCTACACATAAGTTAAAAAAAAAAAAAAAATTAGACTACAGGTTTATTTTTAAAGTCGAAATAATTGAACATCATTTTTTTTTGGAGCAGCATCCTCAGTATTGTGAAGGAAGGTGGAGGAAGTGGAACAGTTCTAAATTACTGTTAATTGATTCAAGGTTTACTGATTCACTAAGTAGCTGATCAGCATCAGATAACGATAACGTCTGTGTGCAGAGAAAACAGGTCTGAATGTGAGAAAATATAGCTCATTATTTAAAGAACTAATAGAGAATGACTTTCCCACAGCAGGCTTTTCTCCAGCAGGATTCTTTGTGCAGAGGCAAGAGTTGGAAAGAACCAACCCAGGAATGAAGTGGCTGCAGCAGAAAAAGATAAAATTCTGCCCCAAATTATTGTCCTGCCCACCTGCCCCCAGCCCTGGGCTCTGTTTGGTTCTGTGGCACCTCCAGCTCTGTTTCTGCACAGAAATTCCTGCTGAGATGTTCACAAACCACATCCACAACCCCAAAACTTCGCCATTCCCACGAACTTCCCAAGAAAATATTGACGCCAAGAAGGTCCTGGCAGCTTCCCCTCTGAAAGAGAGGGGTGGGATCTCAGCAGTGCTGCCCTGCTGTGCTCCAAGGACCTGGCAGGAGCCAGGGAATGCCCAAAACCCAGCCCCAGGCTGGCACTACTTGCCTGTGTGCCCGTTGTTCTCCAGGGTCCAATCCACAGAGCCCCTGACATCGTACCCTTCAAACGCCAGGGGCTTGAGGCTCTTGTCATAAACCACATTTCGGGTGACAATGTTGACAGGGGACTGTCTGTCCCCTTTGCACGCCACGTATATGTTGTGCCACTGAGAAGGATCTGTTCAGGGATGAAGAAAATGTGTTAATTTTGTTCCCTGTAAACAGCAAATCCTTAAGAAAGCCAAACCACCCAGCTGAAATTTGAGACATCACCCCAACTTCTGGGGTGATTTTTACATTTGTGTACTTGATTTTTACATTTGTGTAGTATTTGATTTTTACATTTGTATATTTAATTTTTACGTTTGTGCAGTATTTGACTTTTACATTTGGATATTTGATTTTTACATTTGTGTGCTTGATTTTTACATTCGTGTATTTACATATTCACATTTATTTGTACATTTCTACATTATCCTTGGTCTACACAAAACGAGCAGTTACCACATACACCGAGCTTCAAAATACCCTGTTTGGCACTGACATGGTCACAGATAATGTGCCCACAGGCCATTAAAGGCTGAGGGCTGTAAATTTTTTGCATTATTTCTCTCACCAGCCCCTTTGCAAAGCAAAAAAAAAAATCACCAGTGTGATTGGAAAAGTAAATTGCTTGGCAGTACCTTCACACTGTGGCTGCTCACACTTCTGGGACCGATAGCACCAGTGGCCCACTAAAAAAACAAACAATAAATAAAACAGGTGAATGAAAATCTGTACCAATGATACCCCCAAAAAGCAGCAGGGAAATGGATTGGCAGCTCTGCCCTCTCTAGATCGCCTCCTGATCTCTCATAAACCACTTTATAGCCATTAATATCCCCCCAAAACTTGCTGGCAAGAATCTTAAGGACATCAGGATTCTGAATGGGTTGCAATCCTTAAGAATTTGATTTTCAAACCTTGGCTTCCTCCACTTCTTGAGGCAAAAGTTCCACGTTTGAACATATGCAGTGCTAAAGTAAATTTCCTTTTATCAGCTCTGCACTTGCCAGTCTCTCACAGACTTGTAAATTCACTTATGCAAGAGGACTTATCTCAGCCTGTTCCAGGAAGTCCTTTGAAGGTTACCTGGGGAAGAATTCTGAGAAATGAAGGATCTCCCTTCCTGCAGGACCTGGAGGATCTTTGGCCTAACTCAGTTGGGTCCCAGCCCACAGGGATGGATGCAGAATTCTTCAGCAGAACATCCAAGGTTTGCTTTTCCATTGTCAAAGAAATACAAACTCCAGAGGACAAGAGCTGATTTAACTTTATGTGTTTATCTAGGCAGGAAAGTAGGATTGTTTTGTTTATCCCAAGTTGCTTCAGTGGCTCTTTATTTATTCTAAACTTTAAATTGACTTTGACAGGGGTAGTTCTCTTTGGCTAGTTAACTTCGACCCATAACAATTCAAACCCTCTTATAATGATGATTAAATACCACATCTTTTGTTTGCTTGTGATTAGTAAATTATAGACATTTTAATAAATGGCTAATCAATTTTAAGGATAATTATGGAGGAGCCCTGTCACTTGACTGGTAATTACCTTAATTTGTAATTTATAACACACCTGCTGGAAAGCTTTTAACACCTTTATCTTGATATCAGTGGCATAACAATACATCCATCTATTAAGGATTTAGGAGTTATAAATAGAGAATTGTTGTAAAACCTGAGCTGCTGTGACACAGAGGGAAACCTTGTGGCGATTAATATAACCTTAAAAAAATGTCAGTTTTGGTTTTTCTTTCACAAAAACGAATTTTCTGTTGAAAACTACAATCAATGTTGCCTCACTTTGTCGTTTAGCAAGACTGGGAAGAAAAACAAACTTTGCTTTTTCTGTGTGGTAAGAACTGCAGGGATTTCTATGTTGTTATCCAAAAACTGGTTTTGATGATGTTTTATCCTTTTGGCAGATTCCTAACACACACAAAACTTCACTTTCCAGCACTGATTGTTGCTTTTTTTATCTTTCCAGGACAGTGGCACCAAGCTTTTTCTCATCCCCACTGCAGAAGTTCCAAGCACAGGATGCCACCGAGTGCCTGAATCGATATTTTAATCAATAAATTAAAATGATTAATTTTAATTTCTTGCAGAATGCCAGCTGAGCTGATCTCCTCACTGCCTCCACCTGTGTTTTCTGCAGGGATCAAAGACTCCAGGTGAGGTTCTGGCAGCTGCTCTGGGGTCAGTGTGAACTTTTAACAATCCCCAAAGTTTGGGGTTGGGAGTTCCTTGCCAATTTACACACGGAGGAACCTTCAGGTGTGAAACAACCAGCAGGAATAACCTGGAAGGATTTGCTGCCAAATCTTTGGGATGGAAAGCAGAGGGGGAAGGTGAGAGCTCCAGGCTGGGCAGTTCCAGGAGGTTTCACAATGGAGTGGGAGCATCAAAGCATTTCTGCAATGCAAATCCGATTTTTCAGGTGCTCTGAGCCACAGCTGGGAGCCAGGGCAGCAGCTTCGAGGCTGTGGAGATTTTAATTCTACCCTGGAACCACCAAATTCAAACAGAGCCACAGGGACAAGGGGAATTGCCCCCAGATTGTGCCCAGGTGGTCCTGAGCCAGGGCCTGTGTGCCAGGGGGATGGAAATGGGTTATGTCCCACCCTTCCCAAACATAGAAATCACTGAGTTTTTACCCCCTGGACAGGAGTCTGGGAAGTTGTTTTATCAATTATCTTTCTCTTATATTTCATTATGGATTTATCTTTGATTTCAGTGGTTCTGTGCCATCAAATAAACTTGTGGGTTTCAATCACCCCTCAGTAAATTGACACTTGAGCACGCCACAGATCTTCCAGCCTGGGCAGCAAAACCATGGGGAGAAAAAGTTTAATAAAATAAAGTTTCATCTTGAAAATCCAGCCCTCAGTGGCTGCAGCTGCCTCACATCCAGCTCTCGGGAGTGTTTAATAATTAGTATCTGATTTTTGCATCTTTCCACCAAACCTCCAGCGTCTCTGAACAAGGTAAGGATTGTGTTTTCTACCAAGTCCTTTGCACACTTGTGGTTGGATGGTATCAGTGAAGTAGAAGAGCACATAAATCCAGCACTTCATAAGAAAAATGTCCTTGAAGCTCTTAAACCTCAAAGAACGAGCTAATTAAACATTACAGAATGCCTGAGCAAACAGAGGATTCATGCTTAGCGTGAATTAGGGCTGGTTTTTTCATTTGTGGTTTGGTTTTGGTGGGTTTTTTTGTTGTTGTTGGTTGTGGTTTTTTGGTTTTTGGGTTTTTGTTTTTTTTTTTTTTTTTTTTTTTTTTTTGTTGTTGTTTTTTTTTTTGATTGGCAGCAATGGAACACTGGGGAACAGGAGCCTTTGTGTGGGTGCTGCTCAGGAGGAACCACAGAGTCCCCGAGGAGGAGAATTTGCATTTGGATTTGATCTGAGTGGGAAGTGAGCCTCCCTCCCTATAGGAACCTTACATTACAATGGCTCTTTCTTCCCCTGAGCTTTGGGGTTTTCTTTCCTAAGCAAGAAGGGAAGATCCTTGTCACATGCAGGCATCTCTCTGTGGTTTTAGACAGGATTATGTCCTCAGGCACATTGTCCAGGCCACTTTTAATTATCCAGAGGCTCCTGCCACTTCCCTTGGAAGACTTTTCCACAGTGCATTAGCCCACGCTGTCAGGAAATGTTTCCTATTTAATAGCTTACATTTTCCACTTCCTTATCTGCATCCCATCACTCCTAGAAATATCACCGAACCACCCTAAACAATTCTTTTCCCTCCCTGGTGTTTACAGCATCCAAACAGTTCCCTCTTCATCTGGAATTCCTGTTCTGGCTTCATTCATCTTTTGTCCCATCTGACAGCTGTGCCCTTCACCTTCCCTCTGTCCCCCCTCCAAAATCTCCCTCTGAACCCCCTTTTTTATGGGGTCTGGGAGCCCTCAGATCCCACCCTGCTCTGCTCTTCCAGTCAATCCTCAGCTCCCACACTCTCTTTCCTGCAGTTCTATTTATTGCTGGACAAACACAGCAGAAAGTGGGGTTTTCATTGGTTTGGGGAGGTTTTTTTTGTTTGTTTTTGTGGTTGTGGTGCTGAGATCATTGCTGTGATATACAGATATAAAAATATAAAGATATATAGATATAGATAAAGATGTAGATATGCACACCTGGATTTACTCTATTATCAATTATCTCTTTCTCTTACATTTTATTATGGATTTATCCTTGATTTCAGTGGTTCTGTGCCATCCCACAGGTGTCACCTTGACTTTATTTGGTTTAATTTAGAGTAAGGCTGGACAGGGCTGGCTCTTCCTCCACAGAGTTCAGGACAGTTAAATTTAGGGAGTCTGTCTTGGCACGTGAGCAGTCCCACTTATCTCTGCCTCTTCCTCCTGGAATTTACAACTGGTTCCTGCCCAAAGCTGCTTCTTGGCAGAAAAAACAATAAGAATTACGTATTGTTTTCATTTTATTACAAACGCTTCCAATTGTTTTAGCTATCAAGCCTCGTTTGGAAGCTGGAGGCAAAAAAATAAATAAAATATTCCTGCCCAGTGAGAGGGGAGGTGCTGCTGGCCGGGGGCCAGGCTGGAGCAGCCCTGCCAAGGTGCTATTGTGAGATCTGGGAAAAGACCCTTCGGCTCTTTGGACCATGCTCAGATTGTCTGAATTCCACAAAAGTTCCCCAATCTGCTCTGTCCCACTTGGAGCTGCTTGGTGTGCTGGGGACAGGCTGGCTGAAAATGCCATTTAATCTGTTCCTGTGCACTCAAGAGTCACTAAAACAGGTTAAACTGCCTCAATTCCTGCTTCTGATAGAGTGCCTGGGGTTTATTCAGCTTCTATTTTGCTGTATTTATTATTATTATTGCGGTTTTTAATATTATTTTTGCTGGTTTTATTAATGATATTGAGTTTCTGGGAGTGTGAATGATCTTTTTGCCTGGGACAGCAGGAATGTCCTGTGCTGATTTTTAATTCGAATCCTTTCTCTCTTTCACCTGAGTCCTTTGTTTGTCCCTTTAATCTCCTGTCCCCCTTCCAGCCATCCTGCCTGGCCATTCCCTGTTTTCCTGAGGGTCCCAGAGCTCTCCCTGCTCTGCCATCCTCATCCTTAAATCCATCCCCAAAATCTGCTCTCACCTCTGCTCTCACTCTTTTCCACCAAAATGGCAAAAGCTGGGTTTGCATGGGATTTATTTTTAGGTTTGCCTTGTGTTGGACTCATCCTATTTCTAGCTGGCTTTGTGAAACTTTCTATTTTTAGTGCAAAAGACGGAACAAAAGCAATTGTTATCTAAGCCTGTCTTTCTAATTAATGGGCACAAACTGAGCATATAGAGAATATTTATACCTTCTGAAGCATTATACATCCTCAGGAAACCCCAGCCAGCCCCTTTGAGAGACAAAACCAGTTCCAAAAGTTCACCTCGAGATCTGTGTGTCCCTGCAAGTGCTGGTGGCCATTCACTGCTCTTTACTTTTAACTTTAATTTGATTTTCCCTATACCTTTATGCAGGTATATTGCAGGAGATGATGGGGAGCTAGCCCTGGAAATCAGCTTTATTGTGGTGGTGAAGCCTTGCAAGGCAGCACATCTGATGTTTATAATTTACACACCTAAATCACAGGCTGGGTAAGGCTTTGGAACAGACACAAACTGCAGGAAAAGTCCAAAGGGAATCAGGGATTCTGGATATGCAAACATCTATTAACATCTGCAAACGACTTCCTCTGTGTCACAGAGCAGGGGAAGGTTTTCAGCTGTGACCTGTGGTACTCTGCTGTGGATAATGTGCCCTCAGAAATGTCCTGTATCAAAGGCAGGAGCTGCAGCAAAAAATCAGTATCCAGGGCTAAGGTGATTTCCTCCTGTGAGTGGTTTTGCCTGGCTTTCTTTAATAAAAATACAATTCAGAATTATTTATTTTAAACTACTTTTAAAATTGCATTCAAACAAATCACTTGGTAGCTTTGCTGGCCTTTGCAGTCTTTTACACCGAGCTTTTGATGGCTGAACCTGTGGCTAAAAATATGACTAAAAATCTAATAACAGGCCAGTGGAGAGATGCTGGAGCACCATAAAGCATCTCCTGCGATGCCACAGGCAGGGAAAAGAGCCTGCACAGAGACAGACTCTGGGCTTTGCAGCTTTTCTAGGAGACCTCAAGGTTTGTGCTGGATTTTTGCAAGTGTCAAAGGCTTTTCTGCTTCCAGCATCCCAGTGGGAGAGCCAGGAGCACCCATGGGGAAATCATGGATAAAACTCAGCAGGATCATCCTCATCCCTGGGGAAGGGGCAGCTTGGATTCCGACCTGATGGAGACCCCAGAGGTGACCTAAACCCCTCCCATGGGAATTCCATCATTCCTGTGGCTCACTGCCTTTTCTCTGTGCTCCAGGTCTTACATTGCATTTATTATCCTTTTATAATCAGCTGAAAATGCAACTTTTCACTCCAGAGTGTGTCCAAGTACGTCAGCATCCTGAATTTGGCAGCTCTGAAATGGATTTGGAACCTAACCATAAATCTGTGTGCAGTCCACACCATTAGAACTGGAAGGGGAAGAATCACAGAATATTTTTATTTTACTTTATTTTATTTTGTTTTCTTTGTTTTGTTTTTGTTTTGTTTTGTTTTGTTTTTTTTAAGCTGCTGATGGAGCTCTCAGGGGTATTTTGTACCTGAATGGCCCTGAGGGAACCCCAGAGTGAGAATTGATGCCAATGTCCGCATGGTTATGTAAATTTAATGTTTGTGAAGGGTAAAAGCATGTAAGCAGAAATATAGAAAATCAGAGGGATCTGATCTCATCTAAATTAGAGGAATGTCCTATCAGGCATCAATCTTTTGGAGCAGCAGAGCGTGGACTGTGGGAGATTTGTCTCCTCATGGCTGAGTCCTGCTCTGTGATAAAGCAAAAGGTTAAAACGTGCTGGGGTTCATTCCATTCCCCCTGAAGAAAAATAATTTTCAGTGACTTTGCTGTAACCCCACCCCAGAGCTGATGGAGGGATGGATGCAGGGAGGGATGGATGGATGGAGGGATGGATATCCCTCACTGTTACAAGGTTTGGAGCATTCCTGCTGGAAATTGCTGACACTTTGTCTCTCTTTTCCCCAGAAACAGCCCCAGAGGATCCCTGAGCTCTCAAAAGGAACCAGACAAGAAATGTGAGGTGGATCAGTGCAGCTGTAAACGGAATAACCTGAGACCTGGATGAGCCAGAGGATGAGGCTGGACAGAGGTTTGGGGGTGATGTTTGGTCCCTGGGCAGGTACCTGCCTCAGTTTCCCTCTCCTACAACAGGGATAATGTCCCTTCCTTCCTTAGAAAGCCCTCCAAGGACTGTTAGTGCTGGTTTTAAACCACAGGTGCTGTGGTGTTTGACAAGGCTGGCAGCAATTTCAGATTAGCAATCAGTGATCTGAGTGGTTCAGTGTGCTGAGCTGTGAGTGCCCAGGTGGAGCTGGGCTCAATGAGCTGATCAGGGCAGATCACCCAGGCTGGTTCTAAGTGGCAGGACAGGAAGGAAAGGTTTATTCTTAAAAAAAATAGACAACAAGAAGGAATTTCAGCTGATTCTCAAAAGTGGAGTTTCTTGAAACATGTTAGCCTTTAACTTAATAAATTGTATCCTGTGGAGCGGCTGCCTGAGGAGAAATTTGGAGAAGAAGGTGTAGAGAGCAATTTTCTTGTGTATTAATGACTGTGAAATTTGGTCCACACTCAAGGAAAAATGTGGAAATAACCAGGGTTGAGGGGGCAAAAAACACCTACAAATGATCATCTATGCATTCCCTGTGTTATTTCCTTCTGATAGAGAGGTAAACCCTAATTATTGACTCCAATCTAATCAAGTCACAAGGGTTTTCTAGCCAGTCTTTAGGTTTCCCCAATTAACGGGGCAGTAAATTTAGCACAGCAGTGATAGTCAGGATCAATGGGAAGCAAACCCCAGGGGCAGAGTTTGGAAAAGCAAAAGCTGTTTTTTGTGTTTTTGTGTTTACCTGGCCCAGGTGTGGGCAGCCCCTGCAGGGAGAACAGCCCTGGCCCAGGGGCTGAGCAGAGGGAAGGGCTTGGAAGGTCAGGGAGGAATGTGGGGAAGCCAAACTGCTGAGGGAATTCATTCAGAGCAGAGAAATAAACCCAGGGAAACCCTCCAGGATTTATAGAACAGCTCTGAACCTTGATCTGCTTTAACACCATCTCCCTTCAGCAGCTCTCAGGGCAGCACTTCCCCCTGATAATGCTGGATCCCTTTTCTCCTCCCTGCACTCTGCTCTATTTTACTGCAAACAATGGTCCCTCCGTCACTTTTAAGAGCTGCAGTGTTTAATTTCGAGGCTCTGTGCTGGTATTTGCATAGGAAAAGGGATTTATTCGGTGCTGCTGGTTGAACAGAAGCAGGGGGGGAAATACCTCCTGCATTTTTTCAATACTAATTATAGATCACAATTTAATTGAGCCATCCTAAGTGCGCAGTGTACTTATAGTGCCCAGAGAGCAAAAATAGATGGGGCTGCTGGGCTGATGCAGCAAAGACATATTGTTCTCTCTCCCTCAGCAGAATTTCATCTTGGATCGTACACAGGAAAGCATAGGGAGTAGAAATTTCAAACAAGCAAATTCTTTCAAGTTTAAAGGTGTTTTAAGGATAAAGAAATTAAGTTTTGGTATTTTAAATGCACGTACATAATAAAATACAGAGATCAAGTCAAAGCTCATTGATTTTTCTTGGAGGAGGAAGGCAGATAGAATCTCAAAAGGTGAAAAGAAACCCCCAAAGCACTCATTCATTCATGAGAAAAATCCTGTCCTTGATATTTTAACACAAATAATAAAAGGCAGGAAAATAAATAAATCATCCTTCATTTACCAGAGAGGAGAATCAGAGAACCTGCACTACATGTCCTGATAGTCAGAAACAAATCAGAAATAAGAGTGAGCTTAAGGTGGGGTTAGAAAGAGCAGGGAAGGACTTACCTACTGCCTCTGTCTTGAGAATGTGCAGGCAGAAGAGAGCAAGGAACAGCAATTCCATTCTCTGGTTTAAATAGGCTCAGTGTTGAAACCAGAATTGATTAGGCTCCTCAGGATGTGATCATATTTCTGCTCTCAGTTTTATACTGGAGTAAGTAGTCCAGGACAGACCTGAAAGCCATAGCAGGAAGGTGAACTCCTCCCCTTTGTAATTTCTCCAGATTTGCCCTGCTCCTGATTTGCCTGAATTTATTCATTCTCCAAAGTGGATGGCAAAAGGAGTGAGGCTTTCTGGCACTGAGCAAGGAGCCTTTAGTGAAGAACTGAGGCTTTGCCCAAGTCAAATGTCACATTTTTATTTACTGGGAGTTTTTCTCCTGGCAGCCTCGTGACATTCAATTAATACGTGTGTTAACGTTTCCTTAAAAAAAAAAACCCAGGGAGACAAATAAAACCCCAACTCCCCCTCACTTCTACCCCACAGCTCTCCAAACAGGATTGGAGTTGATTTGTGGGACTGGAAAATGGGAATTCCATGTGCAGCAACAGGAAATGTTAATTAGGTGACATAGAACACCTTACGTAGGCAATCAAGCAACGATACATTTTTTTAATAATCCTTTTTCTCAACTTTCTGCTGCTGTAGAATGATAAATACATGGATTTTTTTGGTTTGGCCCCCTTTGTTTTCCCATCTAATTTTTTAAAAAATTAAACACGATTCAGGGACAACTCAGAATTTGCATTCAACGAAGAAAAGCGACAGAACTTTATCACAGACACAGCATCATCTTTGGCATTTTTGGGGGTGCATTTTGATCCAGCTGAGGAAAACAAAATGAATTCCCCAAATGCCCGTGGGGGTACAAGCCCAGAGCTGGGCTGGGTGAAGAAGAGCAGGATGCTGTGAGGAACGGGCAGAGAGAAGTGATGTTATTCCAGCTGAGCTGAGCGTGCAGAGTCATCCAGCAGAGGCTGCATCCAACAAAAAGGAGCTGAGAAATCTCTCCTTGCCCTGCTGCTCTCGCAGGGGGGGTCACAGGGGCTCAGGAGCTGCAGGCACACCCAGAGCAGCTCCTTTATTCATAAAAACCGGGCTGTAAATGACATTTCCACAAGGCAGAGCTCTCGGGGAGTGTTTCCCACCCTGCACAGGCACATGGGGATGAGGTAAATAATTCCTGCTGGGGGGAACAATGAGGGGTTGGTGGAGTTTGGTCCCTTCCAGGTCCCTGTGGGGCCAGGGGGATGCTGAGCAGGCAGAGCAGCTCTGCAGCTCCAAGGGCATCCAAGGGACAATTCCTGCTCCTTCCTTGGGCTGCTCCTCTCCAGGGAGCTGAACCAGTGTCCCTGGAGGCTTTTTCCTGCTCTATTTCCTTGAAGTGCTCTGTTCAGGACTGGAAAGCTGAGGGTTAGAAATTCTGGTCTTGAAAATCAGGATCCTTGATTTTTTTTTTTCCTTTTTTTTTTCCATTTTCTTCTTTTTGTTTCTAAACCTTCCAGCCTGTCATTATCAAAGTGGTAATAAACTGCACTGCAGTCACGTTAATTAAGCCTTCATTTGAGCTCACAAGTGAAGGCACACTCAGGCAAAGGCATTCCCTTTCCTTCTAAAGCCTGTCATCTAAGTAAGCAGGGCTGGCATAATTTGATCTCCTTATTTTTATTTTTTTTTCCCCTAAGGAAACTCCCCTGACAGGTGCTTGGGTATCAGTTTTTGATGGCATCATTGCACTTCAGGGTGGTTCTGATTCCTCTGCAAAACCAGAACTGCCCTGAGATGCAATGATGCCATCAAGATCTGGGTGTATTTTACACAAAGATTTTTGGATGCTGAAACTGAAGACGTGGGAGCATCTTGGTCAGAGATGACACAAAGTTAAGCAGCCCTCTGAATTCCAGGCTGGTTTTTCCTGGCAGTTACAGTGGAGGGAAGGACAGGTGGGAATGTCAAATCCAGTTAAAATTGCACTGATTTTGTGGCCTGGAGAGCCGCAGCAGCAAGGGCTGAGAGGGTGAGGCTGGCTTGAGCCCAAAACCTGGTCAGGGATGAGCTGACCCAGCAGGGGACAGAAAAGCACTTCCAAGGGATTTAAAACCCAGATGGGTTTAGGAATTAGAGTGAGTGGCTGGGAATCCCACCCTGCAGGGTGAGAAAACACAGAGTGCTCTTTGCTTGGCTGTGGGCTGTCATTTTATTCCTGAGAGTTCCCACGGCACTGAAGAGGAAATCTGGAATTTCAGAGCTCTGGGTGAAGCAGAAATATTCCAGCTTCACCTTCCATGTGCCAGCGTGGGCTGGCTCTGGCTCTGCTGAGTGCTGCCCTGGGAATTCTGTCATTCCATGGAGCCCTGGGAGCAGGGATGGGATCTGCTCTGCCTTCCTCACACCAGCTCATCCTGGAGAGCCTTTGTTTGCCACACACCTGCCTCCAGGTGTTTGTCTCCTCTTGCTTTGATTCTTAAGATTTTCTAAAGCCTTCTGAGTTTATATTTATATTCTGTTAAAAAACTTTTTCACGCAGTTTTCTATAAACAACATATTGTTTTACATTCCTTCATAGAAGTAGAAAAACTTAATATACTAATAGTTTATCCAATGTCTTTGGAGAGGTATAGCCCATTCACTCTCCAATCCACTGTCACCTTTAAAAAGGTATAAAAGTTAGAAAATAAACATTCTTCTTCTTTACCTTACAAATAGCAGTAGCTCACACTATACTTTCACATATCCTGTAACAAGTCTCCCATCACTCCAAACCTGGGAGGCAAAAATTCCTCCAGGAGAGAGGCTGGAGTGGGGAGGAGCAGAGCTCTGTTTTCAAAACAGCTCCAAAAAATCTTGGACAGAGATCACAGACCCCATTTGTGTCTCCCTCTCCAGAAAGGAAGGCTTTAATCTGCATTAATTGAAACATAAATTTGATAAATAGGCTCCTTATTTGTATCACTCCCTTTCCTGACTGTTTCTTCCTTGCAGGCCCCCGTGAGGGTGGGAGCTGTCCAGGGGCTCCTGGGCAGGGCTGGGGCTCAGCTCCTGGATGAATTCCCTGTTTTGGGATCAATTTTGGTGTGTCCCAGCTGGGGCCTCTGCTTCTGAGCCCTGCTGGGTCCCACTGGAGGCTGAGAGCTGCAGCTGGGGGCAATTCTGAGGCTGCGAGCTCAGCTGGGTGAACTTGGATTTTCCTCACTTCAACCATCACTGAAAATTCAGCCTGAAGCCTCTCCTGCCTCTTTCTCAGTCTCTTCAGTGTGGTCAGTGCTTACTGTCTTCCCCACAGGCACAATCAACAGATAATTCCACAAAATGAGGCCATTTCTTACACATACATCAAAATAAATTGGGCATTCAGATAAATTCAGTCAATACAATCACAGAACTAAAAGAAAAGCAATCACAGAACTAAAACAAAAGTGTTACAGAAGGTGAAATCTCGGTAAACATAAATCAAAGGCTGCCCACAGCAAGGTACAGTCAGTGTTGGAGGTGTCTGCCTGAGATCCTGGAGATTAGATTCAGTTCCCTGGAATCCTGTGTCACCTTAAACAAACAATGGGATTGTTCTTTCCCCATTTATAGGATGCAGATAACAATTCCTCACGAGGTATAGTGAGGTAAGCACAGAGAATGATGCTCAATTCCTGGAATATGGGAGTAGAAAAACACCCTTGAATTGAGGTTGTTCTATGAAGAGGCTGGGCTTTAAATTTAAAGTATTTTTCATCTGGTTTGGGGAGCCCCAGCTGCATCACAGAGGGTTGGAATACACAAATCCCAGGGTTTCTGTGTATTAAAGCCCACTAAAAAAGCAGCTTCCCCACTATTGTCTCCCTTAATCCAGCAACATGATGGTAATTTGTATGCAATTCTATTAGGGAAATCAGATTACAAATCTTTTGTGGAGAGCTATTTATACCACTTGATATTACTTTAATTACATTCTGATCTCACAACATTTAGCATTTTGTGCTCGAGCACCAAATTTTCAAATTAGAGCAACTTCAAGGAGCATTTTCAGGAATATCTAGAGCCCTTTGGAGCCCAAATTCACAGCTCAGTAATTTTTAGCCGCCAGGGCATTTTCAAAACCGTTTTGCTCTGTGGGTGTTGTGTCCATCACAGGTGTCCTGTGCCCACCTGGGCCGTGCTGCCACTTCTGCTGGGAGGGAAAGGATTTGCTGGGTTGGCTCAGGGGTGACAGAAATAGTGGGGCCCTTGTTCAGCAGCAACCTCACACCTGAGGTGTGGCTGCCAGGGCTGCCCCCGCTGGGATTACAAAGGGAGTTTTATCTGGGACACTGGGAGAGGAATATTTTCTAGGGTGTTAATGCACCCCCAGGCTTGATTGATCAGTTCTCAGCCCTTATTTCTATGTTATCATTTCCTATGTGACCATCTGAAATGCTTATTGCTTACTTAGACTTGTATAAAGTATAATAATCACACTTTAAAAGTATACTAATTAATTATAAAGTATTTCTGATACACAAAAATTGTGGATGCTGACTGCACATTAAACTGAATATACTTTTGTACACTTCAATAGAAGAAAAAACCCCTAGAATTCCCCTTTTTAAACTCAAAATTATAGCCTAAATGTCCCACATTTTAAATTTGGCAGAGCTATCAGAGTTCACAGATCCCCAGCTCTGGGCTGGAATTGCTGCTGTCATGATCAGTGCTGAATGTGGGAGCCCATCAACTCAGCTGAGCTGCTTGGCAAGGCTGTGGCAGAAAATTGTGACCAAGGAAGGTGAATCCTTTATCAAGGTAACAGTAAAATACGAATTGAATCCGAATAAGTAACGAGGATAAATGGATCACTTAGCTGGATAATTGTCCTGCTCACCTGGACTGCTCAGCTGGTTAAAATCTCCCTGCTGCCTCTGTATCCTGTATTTTATTCCAGCAGTGCCCTCTGCTGAGAGCATGGAATGTGTGTCCCCAGAGCTTTTTTTCCCCCCCCAACTCTCAGGTATTTCCAATCTAAGTTCTCAAAACTCATTTGCATTTAAAAAGGTGGAGAAAAAAAAAAGCTACACTGGTGTTGATATTGGTTTATTAATGAACAAACCACATGAAATAAACATAAAATATCCTGTAGCAAGGGCATGGGCAGTGGTGTTGGCTGGGTTTTAGCTGTGTTATTGTGACAGGATTAATTGGAAAAAGGCATTTTCTGGGCTGTTGTGGTCCAGGCTGGAGACACAGCAGTGATGTTTTATTTCAGCTCCCTCAGCCCTCCAAACCCACAAAACTCTGCTCTCCCTCTCCTGGCTCTCTAGTCTTTTATGATTAATTAATTTGTGAGTTAAAGCTGGATTCACTTCACTCCGTTTGAGAACATCCTTGAAGGATTTTAAACTGCAGGTGTGCCCACCCATCTCCCCAAGCCCTGGGAGGTTTTTCTCTTGTCAAAGGTTGCTTCCAGCAGCTCATCCGTGTGGGAAACGTGTTCTGCAGTTTGGGCTATCCTAGCAACTGCCAGAGACTGGCACAGCCCCCAGCTGGCAACCCAAATATTTAAAAACACGCCTGGTTAAAGTTTAACCCCTGTGACGATGATGATGTGGCAGCAGGAGCCGTGTGTCAGGAGAGGATCTCTGCCCAGGACCGAGGTGGGAGCTCCAGGGGAGAATGGGATGAGCAGAGCCGGCCGAAAGGAGCATTTCCCACCATGAATGGGTTCCCAAACTGCTCTGCCAACTACACCAAGATCTGGAATCATTACTTGGTGCTGGCCCTGGGCATCCCCCAGCTGACCATCAACGTTGTCTCCATCATCTTCAACTGCACCGTCATCTTCACCCGCCTGGCCACCCGGGACCTGCACAAGCCCATCTCCATCCTCTTCTGCAACCTGGCTGTCTCTGACCTCTTCACCAGCTTCTCTGGCTTCTGGATTTCCATGCTGTTCATCACCAACCCCGACATCACCATCTTTGGCTCCCAGGACATGCTGGCTCCCTACTCCCTGTACACCACGTCCATCCTGTCCACCATCTACAACCTGGTGAGCATCGGCATCGAGCGCTACCTGGCCGTGGCTGCCAGCATGAGGACGAGGTTCAGGGTGGCCAGGAACCACTCCATCGCCGTGGTCTTCATCAGCTGGGTCCTGGCTTTCTTCCTGGGCTGCCTGCCCCTGATGGGCTGGAACTGCCTGCAGGAGGAGAGCAACATCTCGGTGCTCTACAGCCCCTTCTGCGTCAACTACCTCGTCTTCATCGCCATGCCCAACGTGGCCGTGGCCTTCCTCGTGCCCCTCTTCACCTACCTGCGGATCATCATCATCCTGAGGAAGAGGAAGCTGAGGATGCAGGCGTGCGGCCAAGCCACGGGCACCTACAGGTCGGCGGAGACGCAGGTGGCCAGGACCAGCATCTCCATCTGGCTGCTGGCCCTGGTGTCCTACGCGCCCTTCCTGGCCGGCGTCGCCTTCGACGCGGCCAACCAGCGCTGCCACACGGAGCTGTACCCCGGGGTGTACATCTTCAGGAACTGCACGGCCATGCTGATCACCCTCACCTGCCTGGGCAACCCCCTGCTCTACACGCTGAAGCTGAGGGCGCTGGGGAACAGGCTGAAGGCGCTGCGGGGCCTCTCGGCCGGCCGCGCCTGCGCCATCGGCCACGTCTGAGCCGGGCTGGGCCGGTTTGTGGTGCTGCTATCCCCGGTGCTGTGCTCTGTTCCTGCTGGATGCTCCATTCTGTGCCTTCCAGACTGGCTCTGAGAGTGAAGGTGGGGAGAAGATGGAGCACGGGGGCTGCACTCGCTCCTCTCAAAGCAGCACTCCACGTTCTGCGCTGGACTCTGCTGTGTGGGCACGGACAGAGCAGAGCAGAGAGCGCCTTTGCTTTTTAGGTAGTTTAGCCACTGAGGCAGAGAAGGTTTCCCTAGACTGTTGTTTTTTCTTTCCCTTTTCTTGGAACTGTTGGAACCTGCTCTGGACCAGGACCCAGGGAGCAGCGAGAGCTTGTATTGGAAATGCAGGTGAACCTGCTGGGAAGAATGCTGATGTCTGACTCCAGTTCAGAAGGCTGAATGATTTATTTATCATACCCATACTACAATACATTAATATACTATTTAAAGGAGATACTCAAACTACAAACCTGTTTTCTAACTCCTATATCTAACTACTCACAACTCGTGACCCTCTCTCTGTCCAGCCCCAGGTGGGTTGGTTTGGCCATCAGCTCAAACAATCCTCACCAGAATCCAATCAAGCAATCACCCCAGGTAAACAATTCTCCAAACACATTCCACATGGGAAAAACGAGGAGCAGAAATAGAAATTGTATTCTCCTTCTTTCCTCTGTGCTCCTCTGTGAAAAAATCCTGAAAGAAAGAAGAATGTTCCTGGCACAAGCTCACATTTGTGGCCTGCTCTGGGCAGCATCCTTTCCCGGTGCCAAAGGGACTGAGGACAGAGCCACCAGCCACAGGAGAGACTTTCTGAATTTGCCATCTCTTCAGAGCAGCAAATGAACTTTGTCACCTGGTATTGTTCATTTTTTGTGCTGGGGAGTGCTTTGCCTGTTAAATAAACAGTTTTTTTCTCACTTCTCTCCCAGGAAATTTTTCCCGAGCTGGTGGTGGGAAGGGGCCGTGTGGCTTGACTTTCTGAGGGGGCCCTTTTGGGGGTTTTCTCCCAAATTTGCCCTGTGAAAAACACCATTCAGTTGTGTTAAAATTTTAGAAGTTTAATAGCAATGAAAACGAGGATAACAAGAGACAATAAAAAACAAAGAATGACAGACCTCGGGGTGCCTGGCACTGCCACAAAGCACACCTTGCCAACAAAGGATTACCCCTTAAAAGCAATAGCTCATTGCATATTCATCTATCTCATACATAATTCAAACATTCCTCTTCAAACTAAGAGTGTTTCTGCCTAATTTCAAACCCCCCTCATCTAGCAAATCAATCCTGCTGGTCCCTCGAAGTCTGGGTCTTTACCATAAGGAGGCAATAATTCTTCTCTTGGAATCTTATGTCTTGTTGCTGTTATCTCTATGTAAAGAATTTCTTAATTATCCATTCCTTGAGCTAGTTACAAAAATTATTATTATATTACACCACATAGTTTCTATTTTAATATTATGCTATAGCCTAAAAACTATATTTACCACACTACTAAAAATAGATTAACACAGCACCACTTAGAAGAGATTAATACAGCACTACTTAGAAGAGATGAATACAGCATAACTTTCCAACACAACACATACAATACTCAGTTTAACATTTGCAAAGAACTAATCACATAAAATGCACATCTACATCTATTTATGTATTTTATATATGCCCATATCTATATCTCCACCCCTATCTCGATATATACATCTCTCCCTCCACTCCCCCTTCTTTCCCCATGTACAGCGCTCTCTTTACATATCCATATCCATATATCTCTGTCTATATTTATCAATTTATGGACATATCTCCGGACAGCCGGAGCAAACGCTCGGCCGTGGATTAGACGCGCCTGGGGCGGGCGGTGCTGCCCGGGCGGGGCGGGGCGGCGGAAGCGGCGGCGGCGGCGTTGGGGCCATGCGGGCACCGGGACCGTGCGCGGAGTGCGGGGCGGGGGCCGCGGCCCGGTACCGCTGTCCGCGCTGCGGCAGCGCCTAGTGAGCCAGGGCGGGCTGGGGCACGGCCGGTACCGCCGGTACCGCGGGCTGGGGCACGGCCGGTACCGCGGGCTGGGAGGAGCAGGGGGGCACGGCCGGTACCGCCGTCCGTGAGCTGGGGGGGCACGGCCGGTACCGCTATCGGCGGGCTGGGGCACGGCCGGTACCGCCGGTACCGCGGGCTGGGGGCACGGCCGGTACCGCTGTCGGCGGGCTGGGGGCATGGCCGGTACCGCTATCGGCGGGCTGGGGCACGGCCGGTACCGCCGGTACCGCGGGCTGGGGGGGCACGGCCGGTAGGGCGGGCTGGGGTACTGCCGGTACCGCCGGTACCGCGGGCTGGGGGGGCACGGCCGGTACCGCCGTTACCGGTGTCGGCGGGCTGAGGCACGGCCGGTACCGCTGTTCCCGGGATGGGGCACGGCCGGTACCGCTGTTGCCGGGATGGGGGCACTGCCGGTACCGCCGGTATCGCCGGTACCGCTGTTGCCGGGATGGGGCACGGCCCGGTACCGTCAGTAGCACCGGTACCGCTGTCGGGAGCGGGGAGGGCGCTGCGGGCCCGTCTCTCACGCCGTTTCTCCCCGCAGCTGCTCCGTGCCGTGCTGCCGGACCCACCGCGGTGAGTGCGGGCCGGGAGGGGCCGGGCGGGACCGGGGCTGGCCCGGGGCTGGCCGGGGCTGGCCCGGGACTAACGCGGCTCTCCCCGCAGAGCGATGCTCTCCCGATGATGCCCCGCGGGAGCGGGAGGCGGCCGGGCAGGAGCCGGTCCCCGCGGCCGGGCAGGAGCCGGTGCCCGCGGCCGGGTTCCCGGAGGACATCCCGGGCGAGGAGGACGAGCAGGACCGCGTCCCGGAGCACAAACTGCGGCTGCTGGGTGATTGGGGCGGGCAGGATAAACCCGCGCGGGGCTGCGCCTTCCCCCGGCAGGTTCGGTGGCACCGGCAGGTTCGGTGGCACCGGCAGGTTCGGTGGCACGGCTGTAACTCGGTTCTTTCCCGGTGCAGGAGAGTCGGAAGAGCTGCGGGAGCTGCTGCGGAACCCGCACCTGCGGGAGCTGCTGCTCGCCCTGGAGCGGGCTCGGGACAAAAGCTCCGTCCTGAGGCGGCTGATGCAGGAGCCGCTGTTCGTGGAGTTCGCCGACTGCTGCCTGGGCATTGTGGAGCCTCCCGAGGAGAAGGAGAACGTGCTCCCCGAGTGAGCTGCCGTGGGAATGGCGTTTTTTTAATTATCTTTGGGATTTTGGTGTGGGAGCTCAGCCAGAGGTGCTGCCGTGTGTCTCGGCTGCTCTGCCCGTGGATGTCGGTGCTCTGGTTCCAGCCTAGGCAGGGCTGTGTTGGGACACTTTTACATCCTGGGGGTTCAACTTGCTACTCTGTGGAATTCTTTCTGTTGGCACAGAAATTCACCACAGCAAATGCTGCTTCACGATGACAATATTAAATATATTTACATTTATTTTAATCCATGGGTACTCGGAAGTGTTTTTGTTCACTGAAGGTTGTTGGGAAGGGTCAGACACTTTGACAAGGCATTGAGCAGTTTATTTAAAATGACATACACAGAGCAGCTGAACATTTTCAAGATCCACAAGCAACAAAGGGAGGGTTCAGAGCACTCCTGGTGAGCCTCTGGGCACGGTGGTGCTGTCTGGGGAGCTCTACAGACACCTGGTACCTGTGAGAACTCACACATTTTGGTTCTGTAGATAAAAGCAAGAGCCCAGCCTTGCTTTTCCCTGAGACATCTGCCCCTAGGGCTGCAGCTGGCTGCTCCTCCCCCCCTTGGGGACACTCGTGGTCAGTCAGGATGAATCAGGGATATTTATTTGCATTATTTGCTTGCTCTGGCTGCTGCAGGCAGTGCCACCAGCATTCAGTTCAAGTATTCATTGCTTCAAGCACCTGATCTGTTGGAATTGATTTGTTCCCACAGTGTTGATATTTCCTGTAACAGGGGGAGCAGGAGCTGCCCCCACATACAGTAAATATAATTTAATGTTATTATAATGTGTATTATCCCATTCCATCACGGTGTAGGTACAGGGCAGCGCTGTGGAAGCTCTGAGGTAGCAGCAGAAGTGGATGTTGAGTGATTTGGAAGCAGCAGCTTGCAGAGAGCCCTCCTGGAGGCCAAGGCCAGGGGCAGAGCTATGTGGGCAGGAGTTCCTGTCTGTCCAGCAGGATCTGGTTGAGTCCCGTGGTGGAGAACGCCTCTGTGTGGGGGCTGATGTTAGCAAAATGCAGGGGGGACCTCCTGCAGTGGAACCTGACAGAGCCCTGCAGGGACAAGAGGGGGACAGTGTTCAGCCAGGTGTGCAGCTGACTTTGTTACTCACGTTGAGTTCTGGAGTGTGGGTGAGGACAGAGGAACATCCACAAATGGATTTAGGAGAAATGGCCACTGCAGAAACTGCCAGAAGTGTGAACTGCACTGAGACCAGCTCAGACTCTGGAGGTGGGAGTGCTCAGCACCGCACCTGGCAGAGTTTTTGTGTTTGCATCAAACTGTGCGTGCAGGAACTGCAAACACAGAAATGTCCCCCCCAGAGCTGAGGGTGCTCTGTAAGTGCAGTTTGTGAGGGAAGGCAGTGCCAGCCAGTGGGAAATGCTGTCCCAGCCTGCTGCCAAGCTGCAGCAGGAGGGAGGGAAGGGTGGGTACCTGCGGGAGGGCTCTGACGGAGGCGATGCCACAGCCCGGGTGTGCCCTGGGGTGCTCCCGCAGCCCCCCGAGGCAGCGCAGCAGCGGCAGCGCCCGCCACAGCCCTGCAGCACTGCCAGGGGCAGCAGCCAGCACCAGGCCCAGGGGCCAGCACTGCACTGCTGCCTGCAGGGGCCACGCTGTGTCCCGGGCACTGGCAGCTCTGCCCAGGGCAGCTCCAGGGGCCGGGAACTCCTCTCCTTCCCCCTCGTCCAGCTCCGCTGCCAGCGCGGCCGCTCTTGCCTGGGAAAGACACAACGACAACATTGAGAATGTCCTGGGCACAGGTTAGACTGCAAAACTGAGGCTGTCAAAGAGGGAGGCTGGAAGAGCAGCACACCCCAATTTCCCTGCAGGTAGGGAATGAGTTTATTCTGCAGCATGAGCCAGAACAGCTGTACAGGACTGGCATCTGCCCTTCAGCTGGAGAAGAGTTTTCTGGAGCACTGGGTTTGTAGTTCTCAGTTATTACCCTGAGAAGCCTCAGGCTCCTTTTCAGCGCTGTCCTGTCCCCCACACTCACCTTCCACCTCCTCCAGCCCCGCTGGATGGCACGGGCAGCCCTGCGCAGCCTCTGGAAGCGACTCTTGGCCAGCCAGGAGCGAACAGCTGAGGGTTGAACGAGAGAAACCTGAGTGCAGAGGAATCTCAGCAGCTCTTGCACACGCTGGGAGAGATGGCACTCAGCCACCCGTGCCACTGGAGTCCCCCAGAGTGATTGGAAATGTCCCTTGCTCTGTTATTTCATCCCCACCCCACAAGTCACCTGCTTGGATGAGAGTTGCAGAGCGTTTCTCCTTTGCTCTTTTCTTCTCTTTAAATCTTCTCCAGCAGCACTGGATGCAAAATGCCTTCTCATTTAACACCTCTGCTCTCCTGGCTTCCAGGAGCTCCAGCTGCAGTGGGGAACAGGAGCCCAGAGTTAGGGATGGACTTGTGCTCACAACTCTTCCCTCTTTTACAGCCTCTTGGTGTTTGCCAGGGCACCTCAGCCTCATTCCAGTGTCCTATGACTGCTGGATTAGGTTTGAGAAGTGACAGCACTTCATTAGTGCCTTTATATAAATGGAAATTCTTGAGGAGGAAAGTGGAGCCTCCCAAAGTCCCAGCAGCAGCAGGTTCATACCCAGCTCCACAGAAGGGGCTGCATCCTGCAAGCTTGGCAGAAGTGCCTGTGACTCCTTCCTCTCTTTCCCAAGGGCTGCTGGAGCAGCCAAATCTGTCATGTGGAGCTCAGGAAAGCTGCCATCTTTCCTGGAATTCTGACACAAGTGCAGCTCCTTGTCCAACACAGAGGCCATTACACAAAGTGCTTTGCAGAGCTGGATTCTGAGGGGTGCTCAATTGAGTTTAATAATTGGATGGAAAATGCCCAGTTCTGGTCACTCTGGCTTGGCAGGAGTTTTGCCTCTGTCTGTGCCAGAATGTCCCTGAGGCAGGAGCACTGCAGAGGCACCAGCCAAGGAACAGCACTTACCAGGGAAGTGGCCAGGAACACTTTGGTTTTGCCACAGTAGACTGAGGGGACTCCTGCTCCATTCCCTGCTCCCCGAGCAGGGGTTTGTTCCCTGGCAGCATCCTGAAGGATCTCCAGCACAGCAGCACGTGGTGCTTTGCCATCACCCATCGCTGCAGTCTCACCTGGAAGTGAAACACTGAGGAGAAGGCACCACAAAATCTGCAAACGGGGGCCAGGGCATTGTCTTTGAACTGAGATTTCTTGGCCATTTAGAGGGGAAACAGCAAGAGGGGAGGAGGAGATGGCTGAGAGCACCGGATCTCAGATTCCACCAGGTGCCAGCAAGCAGAAAAGCAGTGTGGCTGTTTGAACTGGGCTGTGGCTGGGTGCTGCCTTCTCATCTCTTATCACCTCTGCTCTCCACAGGTAAAATTGTCACTTGGGGTGGAGCTAGACCGAAACAGGGACGGCTCAGGTGTTCTCCCATCCCACATGGATGCACCAGAAAGCAGCAGCAATGCCATTAAGAATAGACTGAGCAGATAAGAAAATCACATTAAATACTCAAAACTCAAAGCTGTGGGAGCAAAGAACAAAAGGCAGGGAATTGTAGCCTTAATGTGCTGAAAAGTACAGGAAGGGGAAGCAAATTCTACACAATTATACAGCTGTCACAGGGCACTGGGAACAGCTATGGGGTCCTGTACTGAGCAGGAACTTATGGCAGCAATTACAGGTTATTAAAGCCATTTCTGGGAGACAGTGCACAATTTCTTACAAACAGGTCAGCCAGATGAATCTCTTTGGAAATAGAGACAGACTTAATTCAGACCTGGAAAAAGAGTTCCTGCATGCACAGGGCTGGATGCATCATTCCATCCTGGATACTGTTTGCTTTTCTGCTATAAATATTTCTAAGGAGATGAGAGCATTTTAAGGTCCTGAAAACAAATAGAAGCAATTCTTGCTTACAGGAAGACATCTGGTGGCTCTGATGGTGTTCATGGGGCTGGGCTGATAAGGGAACCAAAGCTTGTTTGCAGCTTATTACCCCCTCAAGATAAAAAGGACTAAAAAGCCATCACAAAGAGGCTTTGCAGTTAATGGGTTTGCAATTGAGGGGGAAAGAGCCAGTGTGTAAGTAATTTTCCAGCCTGCACTTCCTTACTTCACCCCATTTCCACAGGGTGAACAGATTTCCACCAATTTTATTTATCTGAACAGGCTGGTCCTGCTTCCCACAGCTGCTGTTTATTGAACTGACCCACTGGGTGAAGAGGGGATTCATCTGGGGCAAGAAAGGGGCTGCAGCGACCTTCAGTATTAAATGTAACCACCTGATGAGCTCCTCCTTTCAGGAGCTCCTAGCAAAGGCATTACCTGTGGGCTGGATTGTGTTTGTTAAAGTCCATCCTCACTCTTGCTTAGAAAAAGAGAAGTTTGCAAAAGGTGGAAGAAGCAGCAGAGTCCAGGTAAGCTGGAAGGTCAGCGATTCAGCAAGGAAACAAGGGGAGGGGGAAAGAAAGGAAGGAGAAGGAAGATAAAGCAAAAGGTAAGTGGTTTTCAAGTCTAGTAAAGAATCAATTCTAAATCAAATTATATTGGGTGAGGGGAACCCCAGACACCACTGTAACTGTGATTTTCCACCCAGGAGGAACACAGAAAACCAGCAGTGAGGGGTAAGATTTCAAGTGTTAAGCAAATTAGAAACACAGGTTGGTGATAGGTTAAAGAAGTATTTTAAGAATAGTGGTGAATACAGTAATTACCTGATCTGTGTGATACCAAATGGGTGCAGTGACAATTTTGCTTGATGGCAGGGGGATTACCTGAAGAAACTTACCTTTTTTCTCAGCAGGATGAGAGCTGCTTTTGCCCCACACTCTTTTTTTACTGGAGCCCCAGGATTTTCTCAGTAGTTCATAGCGCTCAGTGAAACTTTGGAAAGGGATCCTGGGAGACAAATGTGAGTGAATTCCAGGCAAGAACCATTACTGTAAATAACTGATCCTTTTTGCTGTGTGGTAAATAACTCATCCCCTGAAGGGGAAAAATTCCAGAATGGCTTTGTGGCTCCAGTGCAGGGGATGCAAACAGACTGATGCCTAAATGGTCAAACAGGCCAGAAAGTACAGAACTTGTGAAGAAATTCAGATTTCCCAGTAACAGTAGCAAAGCCAGGGCAGGAACTGTGCTTAGATATGCTGATGGTGCAAAATATAAGCTGCTTATAAGCTCTTCTGAATAACTAAATACCACTAATTGCAATATAAATGGATTATGCTGGAGAAGCTGGACTTACCTG